TGGGTGAATGATAGTGGTGACTAGGTTGAGGTACATATCATTTTACTTTACAACTAACATGCTGATTGGACCATTATTGCTTTGATAGGTCAACCGAAAATGCTTGTTCAAAAATCATGTCATTTGGGTCAATCTGTTTGTGACCTTATCGGCCAGGCCAAAAAGAACATGCCAACTTCATGTTTGGCTTACTCATTAAAAACTGTGTAGCATGTAATACCCCTAGGAATATCTGCTTGCAATCTTGACCTTCTAGGTACCGTATAATATTTTGAAAGGAATTTGTATGTGCAATAAACATTTTTTCTAAGTGCATAAATCATGGTGAGATTAATGAAAAATATTAGAAGGCGGACTAGATAAAAGCCGTCGAGAGTCTTAGAAGAGGGAGATGAAACTGATACTATATGAATGCAAAACTGATGTTGTTAGCATTGTTACCCACTTACTGGCATCAGTAGGTTCCACTTTTTTATGGTTAGAGAAATATTTGACATCTGTGTCGGATCAAGGTACTCACCAAGTTAAACACTGGGTTTTGTAGTTGGTTTTTACCCTTTTTGAAAGACCAGAGGAGGAGGATATGAGATTTCATTTTTAAGTTTCTATTTCATTGGCTGTAGATACAACTATATCGTTGTTACAAGTATTTGAGAGTGCATCTCAATATACAGATTTTCTATTTTCCTGGCTGGAATGCACTAAAGAGTTGTTTTTAATGTACAAATCATCTCAGTCTCTCGATATTTTAGGTAATCCAAGTAGACGAAGAGCACAAGAAACTGATATTCTCAGAAAAGGAAGCTGTCTGGTCGAAGTTTTCTGAGCAAATTCATGTTGGGGATATTTTTGAAGCTAGGGTGGGTTCTATGGAGGATTATGGTGCATTTGTTCACCTACGATTTCCTGATGGTATTTTTCTTTCAGTTATATAACCTACTCTACTCTTTATTTCAAATAGGGAAGAAAAAAAGAAAAAGGAAATCCTAATTGGCATCAAACTCTGAAACAGGTCTTTATCATCTGACTGGACTAGTACATGTCTCAGAGGTTTCATGGGATTTAGTTCAGGATGTACGAGACATTTTAAATGAGGGTGATGATGTAAGGGTCAAAATTATTAATATCGATAGGTGAGTTCTGCTGTATGATTGTACTTTTAGTTATTACACACACATACACAAACACATGAAAAATTACCTTAAATAAAGCCATGTTTCTGAACTGTTTGATCTGATATAAGATGAATGTGATGAGTTTTCATATTAAAAATCCATGCAGAGTAAAGTCAAGAATTACACTTTCCATTAAACAGTTGGAGGAAGATCCACTTCTAGAAACGTTGGACAAAGTAATACCACAGGTTTGTAACATGCTAAACTCTCTGATTTATCACTTGTAGTCATGTTCATAGTTCTCAACTGGTAATTTGAATTGCTTACGTATTTATTTGATGATTTTGACCATTCACAGGATGGCTCTGTAGGTCCTGATTCTTTGAGCACTGACAATAGCAGCAATATAGAACCTCTTCCAGGCCTTGAAGCGATATTTGAAGAGCTAGTACGGGAAGATGGGTAGGTTTTCACATTTCTTGGTTTATGAAAAACTATTTCTGAAAATTTTAATGACTTCAATTGAAAAACTAAAATCTGTATGAATATTTAGAATTTGGAAAATTTCCAAGATGGTCAAGTTTGGAGTGTGGGCCAATATGCTATAATAGTTGCTGCATGATATTTTATTTATTCTAGGAGACATTAAATCTGATAGTTATATCTTTTAAACCTGGTTGCAATATCTACACTTGTGTATATTGGGTTGTTTGTTATAGTATGCAAAATATCTTTATACAGCTGGAGCAGATGTCTTCTATTTAATGACACAAAAGAAACTTACTGCCTGGGAATTAGCTGAGATGACTTGGTAATAACATTTGTTTCCTGATGCTACCTTTCAATTCAAAATGAAGGAATGATTGTTTTATTTTTAAGTGGGAAATGTGCCAGTAAAACTGTAAAATTCGTGTCAAGAAAACATTTATCTCATCAGAAACTGCTGAATGTTAAAATCTTGAATTGGTCAAAACTTTTAAATATTTGTATTACTAACTGGTACTCTGCTGTTGCTCACAGATAGATTAATGTTGTGTATGTTAACAATAATTAAGAAGTGTCAATAAAGAAATAAATGATTAAATACCAATCTCCATTCAAGATTCATGCATGCAATTCGGGTCAAAATCAACTCCTTTGGTGACAGCACTTGCAGTTATGGATGGAATTGAGGCCACGGGAACGACTATTTTGGCAACAAAGTAGTCCAGGCCCCTTTTGCTTCACATTAGATAAAAGTTAAAACATGAATCATGATAATTGTCAAATATATCATTCAAAATTCTCCCTTTTAAACATGAAAATCTCTCTAGCATTGGTTTGTCACCATGTATGTTTTCATAGACTGATTGGTAAGCTATTGCAGTTCAGACTATTAATCTGTTGGGAATAGTGTTTGTTTTTCACTTGATATACATTATTGGCCCAACAAATTCCTGTGTGTTTCTCTGTCTCCATTTCTTCGGATCCAACATGTAGGATGGGGATGCACATGAGGGAGAGTGTAGCATGATATACATTATTTGCCCATTTCATAACTTATATTGTGATCCGTTCGTTGTATAACTAATTGTAATATATGAGGTCATAATATTATTAGTTATAACAACAGTATTCCTAACATGGTCAATATTTACTTCCAGAATGGAAGAAGCATATCTAAATGAGGAAGGCCATGAGAGAGGTTACTAGGATTGTAAACAATGTGCATGGGAGTCTGAATGGTTTTCTGCAGTCTCAACTTATTCTTATTATTGGTTAATATTTTTTTAGGTGTGTATAAATGTGATCTCTGGCTTCAAAGTCATAGGAAGTCTTTGGTTTTTAAGAAAACTGATGTCTGATGCTCGCTGCTTTGAATGATATCATGTTCCAGCATAGATGATGTAAGAATCAATCGCCAGGGGTTTGAGAAAAGAGTGGTTTCACAGGACCTGCAGCTTTGGCTTTCAAATGTGAGTGAATTTTTTTTTTTTTTGGTCAAAGGCTTTCAGATGTGAGTTCCTTAAAGTACAGTGAATCAATCTAAGTGTAACTCCATTTTCTTAGTTTAAAATCTTCATATTTCTTTTCTTTTTAAACAGTCACCGGCCGTTAACCAGAAGTTTACTCTTCTTGCTCGAGCAGGAAGGCAGGTGCGTTCTCCTCTCTCTCTCTCTCTCTCTCTCTCTCTCTCTCTCAACACATGTAGAACATATACAAATGCACATGCATATGTACAAACGTAGCTTATACGATCTGTGATTCAGGTGCAGGAAATACAACTGACAACAACACTTGATCAGGAAGGTATCAAAAAAGCACTACAACGAGTATTGGAGCGTGTGCCATAGATCAATCATGTTACATTCCACAGTTACATTTAAAGGAGTTTTTCTGTATAGACATTATTTTTGTCAAATTCCGATATCAGCTGTATAAAAAATATATATATTATTAAAAAAGGTTAATAGGTCAACTAGATAAATTGTTAACACGAATTTTCTTCTGTTAGAAATTAATTGGTTTTCAGTTTTCAGTGCAATTGAACTGAGTTTATAGTTTTGGTTACCAAAGCAAATACACTACCAATTTACACTAGTAAATCTGTGGAAGCTTAAAGTTCCACAAAAAATGCAACATTTCCTCTGGCGTCTAGCCCACTGGGTTGGATTGAAACTGCTTGCTTTCGTTGTATGGGTCAGATTGAAACTGCGATTCATGCTCTTAACGACTGCACGGTAAGTTCTTCTGTTTCGCGCTTACTTGGGCTCCACTTCTTGCTACTTTATCCTATCATGATGCTGCAATTTGGTTTTAGGCTGGATGGGATACCCTCCCTAGCTCACAACACTCTTTGTTTACCATTACTCTTTGGTTCTTATGGAATGCCCGAAATGCAGCTTTCTTTGGTTCTCCTATATTTCCCCCTGAACTAATAGTTTTGAATGTAAAGAACTATGATGCTAAGTATCAAAAGGTTTTAGTAATCCATCATAGGCGGTCTTCTTTGCCAATTCCTGCTAAAAAGTGGCAAACTCCTCCTCCTGGCCATTTTAAACTTAATGTTGATGGTGCACTTAGCTTGAATTCTGGTTTACGTGGGGTTGGTGTAGTGGTCAGGAATTCTTATGGTCGTCTATGTGGGGCGGTAGCAATGCGTGCTCCTAGCTTGCTGTCAATCCTAGCTACTGACTTGTATGCTCCCAAAATTGGTATTTCTTTTGCGATGGATGCTTCTATAACGCCTCTCATTATTGAGTCTGACTCTTCAAACGCCATCCATATGATCCTCCAGGAAAATCCCTGTTATGCGGTAGAAGGGGCTCTCGTCGAAGAGATTTGATGGCTCCTTGACTTGCTCCCCTCCTACTCGGCCTCTAACGAAGTGGCGGATCTTCTTATGCGCTTCAGTCTTGGTCAAGAGGACTTAACTTTTTGGTTTTTTGATCCACCTCTTTGGTTACAAGATTGTCTAATTGAGGACTCTCCTGATTATACTGATGTTTGCTTCTCTTGTAGTCTCGACGTGTGTGGTACTCCTTATTATGGGGTTTTGTTCTGATTATCTAATGAAATCCAACATCTTCTCAGAAAATGAGACTAATAATGATGTGTTTCCTTCTTATTATGGTTTCTATTATTACATCATAGAAAGAGGAAAAAAGCCTGGAAGGCGAGAGTTTTTCTGCTCGCATGAAGGCCGTCCAAGGAACCGGCAACAGCCAGTAGCCAGTCACAGTTGGTGTAAGCTATTATATAGACCGAAATGAAAAGGAACGACAATATAAAAGAATCAAAATGAAGGGAAACCAGAACGGGGATGGATCAAAATGTAGTTAAATGTTTGAGGCAAACCAATTTCGATTCAAAATAATTGATCAAAAGTTCTTTTGTTAATATAAAAGCCAAATGGACTCCAACATGCCTCAACTTTTTAGTCAACAAATTGATGGTTATACCCCATCTATGTACGTTTCAAGCTCTAACCATCATCAAGATCAAGAGCATGCTGCATGAAATCTATGAACTTTATGGCTCATTCTGCCCCAGTAAATCTAGAGCCATCATCTCCCGAAGATCTGAATCCTATTTCGACTGAAAGTTGTGTTTGAAGATGGCAAGAGAGCTAGTGGTGACTTCATTTTCAAGTAGCATATAAATAATTCAATCATGTTAGCTGCTTTTAACCTCCACAACAAGAAAAATCCAATCCGCCTAAGCTTTGCATGCAGAAAGGAAAAATTTGAGCTCAACCTCAATGCTTGAGTATAGCTTGGGGAGCAGTGGGAACATGCAAACCGAATATTCAAAACAAAGAACTCAGACCAGAATGTTTGAGAAGATATACTTCATTGACAAAAGCAGAATATAAAATATTCTAATTACAAGAAGTTTGAGCAGACAACAAAACGTTACCAAAACACCCATTACAAAATTTTGATCAAGTGAAAGCTTCTGAACTACATTTCCAAGCTAAGGCAAAGTGGGCACTACCGTAGAAAAAAGCCACTCAAGAAAGAAGCTGCTCAATCTTTTTCTTCTTTCATGTCCATACAACTCAGCTCCAAGGCCAGACAGGATGACAGGATCAGAGATTGAGAGGCCTACCAAACCACAGATCAGATCCTTTACGCTGGAATTATACCATGAAGAGCAGATATAATGAGATATAGACAGTAGAATATACATCCCGAAAAGAAGGAATCGTAAGGCGAGAGTTCAAGGAGAATAGTTTCAAACCATTGGTAAAATGTAAGCAATTACAATTTTTCTATTAAACCTATTAAAAGGAAAGGCATCAACTGTCCTGGAAGACATCTATAAAAAGGCCATTGAGAAGCCTCAACTATGAATGCATACTCTTCGCCTTAAGCACCAATTGGTGTTTCACCATTTGACAATATTTCATCATTTCCAATATAAAGACAAGTGACAAGTGACACTTCTTGTCAAAGAAGTGGCTGTACGTTTTAGACTGCCGATTAGACAGCAGAAATTCAAAGGTCCCCTGAAGCAAGAAGACACCAACTAAACTTTAGTGCTAACATAGTAAATAAACCAAAATTTAAAGCCTAAATTTGTTACAGAATGGTTGGTACTCGACCATTAGTGAGGATATGCTTCAGTTATATTTGAAGGGTCATTTCCTGTGAGGCTGTGACATAGACAGAGAGGCTTTTGGATTGGTCTGACTCAGTCAGTGCAGATATGTCTGATCCAGTGTTGTGATGCATATAGAATGCAGGTTGTGAGGGTACTGGAAGTGCGATAGACTGGCTGTTAAGCATGGATACAACTGAAACCGTGGTTGGCCTGTCCACCACATTCTGTTGCACACACAGTAAACCAATGTGGATGCATCTCATCGTTTCGATTTGTGAACTTGTCGTCAACACGGGATCTATGATGTTTGGAATTGTATCCTCCCTCCAATTTCTCCAGGCCTATAAAAGTACATCAATACATTCAAAAAGAAATTTTACCATGACAAAACAGAGAAAATATAATGACTTTAATGTATTCATACTCACATAGGTTAACAGGTCCTCTCCATTCTCGCCATATCGGAAACTACCAATCTTTTTACCGCTTACAATTTCAAGAACTAACACCCCAAAACTGAAGACATCCGTTTTGACAGAAAAGCGACCATGAATTGCGTACTCAGGAGCCATATATCCACTGCATGGATTATATTCCATCTATTAGACATGCAAGTTTTTTTTTGTTTTTCAATTTGAAAGTGTAAGTTAGCCATATTATCACAGTACTCACTAGGTTCCCCTAACTGTCTTTGTAACTCCTTGAGTTTGATCAATAGCAAACAATCTCGCCATTCCAAAATCAGCAATTTTAGGGGTCATATCTTCATTTAACAAAATATTGCTGGCTTTGAGATCGCGATGAATAATTCGAACCCGAGAATCTTCATGGAGGTAAAGAATCCCTCGAGCAATACCTTCTATGATCTTGTAACGTGTGTCCCAATCCAAATGCTCGTGATTGTTTGGGTCTAAATACAATTTCATTAAATGAAATATGAACTTTTTTAATCTTTAAGAAATTACTATAAATTATATGAAAATTGAGGCAGAGAAAATATACCAAAAATGAAGTGATCAAGACTTTTGTTAGGCACGTATTCGTAAATGAGAAGCCTTTCGTCTGTTTTCAAGCAAAATCCTAGGAGCCTTACTAAATTCCGGTGTTGAAGCTGAGCAAGTAACATGACCTCGTTCTTAAATTCACGATCACCTTGTTCAGAATTTTTGGAGAGCCTTTTCACTGCTATAGGTTGCCCATTTAATAGTCTACCCTGAATGTTTAAAACAGAAAAAATAAGGAAACCATGCTTAGATTATTTTTTTTCTTTTCTTGTGTAAGTGATTGTTTTGTTACCTTGTAAACGGCTCCAAATCCACCTCCTCCAAGCTTATTTGCATCAGAGAAGTCATCTGTTGCAATTCTTATAGTTTCAAAATCATATTGCAACGATTCCGCCAGACTCATGTCTTCCGAATTCTCATCTGAAAAGGAACAACTTAGATTGTTAACCTCTATATTTAGAAGTAGTGCATTTAACTAATTTTGCAATATTTGAATCATGTCTTAAACGGTTAAATAATTAGAATGGTCCAAACATTATGATGCGCGTAAATGCACAACTCATTTACAAGAGGGCTCGACACCTATTTATAGGTATAGGCTGCCGCCATTGTCCAAGTCCACCGACTTGGCTTTCTTCTCATAGCCACTAGTTTACAATATAATAGTATAACCTTATTACAATTAAACAGAGTTGAACTTACCTTCGTCAAGTTTTACCCTTCGTTTCGTTAGTCTTAAGAAAATGAATATGCTGCTGAGAATAGTGACAAAAGCAACCAAAACCACAACGATGATGATGGCAATTTGTTTTATGTTACTCTTCTTCTTTTCTGAAAATCACATGGATTCCTTTATTAACAACCACCAAAACCATACCACCCAATTGTAAGACATCGATCGAATTTAAGATATGCAGGGTAACCATACGTACCTTCTTTGAGTGCTGGTGGTGTTGCCGGAACTGGAGCTGGAATATCTACTGACGAATCGTCCTTAGACGCAAAGAAACTATTATTCTCATACCTTAAATTACAGCTGGGTTTAAGGACTCTTCCTCCATTCCTTCCACCGCAACAGATTGGAATTTCTGTGACGGACTGTTTAAGGCAACTGCTGCAATTTTGCTTGTCTATGTCTGGAGTGCACTGAGCAAGTGCGTATATTGTTTCACCTCCAGGGACAGTTGCATGCCCTGCTGCAAATTTTTTAAGAGAATTCCCTGACGCAGCTCTGTCACTTAAATTATCCAACAAGGGGGTAAGCACCAGCGCAAACTGTTCAGGATTTTTAGGGAAGTTTGGACTAGGCACATGCTTAAAAGGGTCCGTTTGTTCAATACCAAATATCAAGTTGTATGAGTATCTCACCATACAAGGCTCTGCCCATATGATTGCTTCCTTTTGAGTTGAACAATTTTGCAAGAGAATATCAGTAGACTTGTTGAGACAAACCTGACAAGAGTCCTGTGAGATATCTCCTCTGCATAATGCAATTGCATTGATCTTGTTGGAGTCTTGTCCCCTGGATGAACTGTAAAACCCGGAATTGTTTTGGGTGCTGGAGGAGAAGGAAGAGAGGAGGCTGTTGAGGTTCTCTTGGTACTTGTCACCTGCTGTGTAAGTGCCAGTATCAGAGCATTTCCAGCAGTAATCAGCTCTAAACGTGCATATTCCATCATTTTGGGATATGGTGGGAGCAACAAGGCTTAAGATAATAATAGCAAGATTAATGAAGAAAAGCATTGATCTTGAGGAACCCATTTTTCTTGCTCAACTCACATCAAGTAACAACTAGTTCGTCTTAAAGGAATTACAAGATGATTTCTTGACTTGAAAATATACAAGGTCTAGATGGTTTCCTGACCCTTGATTTGATATCAAGTCTTCTCTTTGAATTTTCTTCTGACATTAGCCAGCCCACATGTTTTCTTCACTCTTCATCTTTGGATTGGAAGACTGATGCAGGCCAACCAGAAAGCACAAAGCAATTGCGAGGTATATTCGTCAGACAGACACGTCAGTCCATCGATGAAAATGTGATGCAATATGGGCCTAAACCCATTAGCCCAACCCAAATTAATCCTAAACTTATTGGTTTGTGTGTGGCTTGATTGGATTTGGGTTTTGTTGAAAACTTGTTTCCAGTCCAGATTAGTTTGGCATTTGATAAATTGATACCAAAACAAATTGGTTTAATTTGGCCTCTCAAATAAATGACAATTGGTTAATTAGAATTTAGTATCCTATGGTCGCTATCTTTTCAATTTTAACAATCATATATCTCGGTTTTTTAAATTTGTTATAATATGATTGCGCTGTTAGGATTTTTGTCAAATCTCTATGTTAGTTGCCTATGTGGCACTGTTGGTCCCATATTTTTTAAATTTTAAATTTTAAATTGATTAAAATATGAATAAAATATTTAAAACCCAAAAAATTAAAATTTTCTCAAATTTTCTCTCTCTCTGCGTTCTCTCTACAACGAACCCAGAACCCAGCTCTCTTTCTTCTCTCTGCTCTCTACCCCATGACACCACCACCTGCAAACTATACCACACCCCAGCCTGCAACCACATCCCCACGAACCCAAAAACCCAGACCCGATTTCTTCCCCCCAACCTAGATTTCTTCTCAAGGAACCGGCAGAGGAGAAAGAAGAAAACCCACCGAAGGGCCCAAACCACACACAAGAAATGAAGAAGAAGATGGTTCCAAAAATGGGTCTTGAGCCTTGAGGTTTTACATCAAACACAAGAGCTTGTTTTGTTACAACAAAAATAGGCATAAAGCTACCAGAGCAACAACAACAGCAGCAACAGCTAAGAGCCTAAGAGCTAGGTGTCTGTGTGTTCTGAGATTTCATTTCAGCTGTGCGTGCACTTGGGTAGCCTTTGTTTGAATCAGAATTTGAATTAGGCCTAAAAAATTAAAGCTTTTGCTTCTGTAAATTTAAGCATTGATCTCTCGGGTTTTTGTAAATTTGGGAAGAACCCATTTGTACTTTGTTCTCTGAGAGTCTTTTGGGAGGTGGGTTTTTGTTGGTCTTGAAAAAACTGGAGGTTGCTGGGTTCTTTGGTTTGTATTTTGGTCAGTGTTTATTTTGTTAGATGAAGGCCATGCCCCTACCCTTTGAGCAGTTTCAAGGGAAGGGGGCGTTAGATTTCTCTTCTTCAACTTCAGATTCACAGCCACCGCAAAATCAACATCTCGACCACCACCACAATCAGCAGCAGCAGCAGCAGCAAAAGTGGAATCAAAACAGCAACAAGGAGAATTGCTATGTGGGCAGTCGATTCTGAGGTTGATTATGAGTGATATTGACGACCCTTCTCTTGGATTGAACAAGCTGTTGCAGAGTGGAAGCGGTTCTGATCAGTAAGATTTGGAATTCAGTGCAGGCTGGGGGGAAGAAATCGGGTCTAGGTTTCTAGGTTCGTGGGGATGTGGTTGCAGGCTGGAGTGTGGTATAGTTTGCAGGTGGTGTTGTCATGGGTAGAGAGAGAGCTGGGTTCTAGGTTCTTTGCAGAGAGAGAGAGAGAGAGAGAGAGAGAGAGAGAGAAAATTTTAATCAATTTAAAATTTAAAAAAATTTAAAATGTGGGACCCACCATACCACGTAGATAACTGATAGATAGATATGATGAAAAACCCTAACAGTGGAATTACATTGTAACAAATTTAAAAGACCGGGGTATGTGATTGTTAAAATTGAAAAGATATGAACTAATATGCCTTAAGGGTGTAACCATAGGATGCTAAACTGTAATTAACCCTTGCTTCTATGTACAGAAAATATTTAACTTGAGCTGCAGTTGCACAAAGATATCAAGCACGCATATCAAGCACTTCCACAAGATCAAGCAGAAACTGTAAGATAACAATGTAAGAATGGATACAACTGAAGCCACGGTTGGCCTATCCACCACATTCTCTTGCACACACAATAAACCAATGTGGATGCATCTCATCGTTTCGATTCGTGAACTTGACATCAACACGGGATCTATGATGTTTTGAATTGTATCCTCCCTCCAATTTCTCCAAGCCTATAAAAGTACATCAATATAGTCAAAAAGAAATTTCACCAAGTCAAAAGAGAGAATATATAATGACTTTAATGTATTCATACTCACATAGGTTAAAAGGTCATCTTCATTCTAGCCATATTGGAAACTACTAATTTTTTTACCACTTACAATTTCAAGAACTAACACCTCAAAACTAAAGACATCCGTTTTGACAGAAAAGCGACCATGACTTACATACTCAGGAGCCATATATCTACTACATGAATTATATTCCATTTATTAGACGTGCAAGTTTTTTTTTTTTTTTTTCAATGAAGCTTTAGGAGAGCACAAAATGGAAGTGTAAATTAGCTTGCTATATTATCACAGTACTTACTAGGTTCCCCTAACTGTCTTTGTATCTCCTTGAGTTTGATCAACAACAAACAATCTTGCCATTCCAAAATTAGCAATTTTAGGGTACATCTAACAAAAAGTTGTTGGCTTTGAGATCGCGATGAATAATTGAAACCCGAGAATCTTCATAGAGGTAAAGAATCTCTCGAGCAATGCCTCCTATGATCTTGTGACATGTTTCCCAATCCAAATGCTCGTGATTGTTTGGGTCTAAATACAATTTCATTAAATGAAATATGAACTTTTTTAATCTTTAAGAAATTACTATAAATTATACGAAATTTGAGGCAGAGCAAATATACCAAAAATGAAGTGATCAAGACTTGTGTTAGGCATATATATGAAAATGTATATATATATATATATATATATATTCGTAAATGAGGACTCTTTCCTCTGCTTTCAAACAAAATCCTAGGAGCCTGGGGTTGAAGCTGAGCAAGTAACATGACCTCATTATGCACAGAAAATATTTAACTTGAGCTGCAGTTGTTCAAATATATCAATCAAACACGCATATCAAAGAAAATAAAATAAATTTTTCATCCAAAAATAAATAAATTGTTCCTGATACATAGCCCCACCCCACTAGTAAGCATATGGTTCAGTAATTTGAATTCTTATTTCCTGATACATGCATAGAGTTTTTGGATTCATCGGACCCTGTTATGTCTGATCCACTGTTATGTTGCACATAATATGCCGGTCGTGAGGGTACTGAGAGTGTGACAGAATGGCTGTTAAGCATAGAGACAACTGAGCCATGGATGGTCTGCTTGCCACATTTTCTTGGACGCATAGGAAACTAATGTGGATGCATCTCATCATTTCAATTCCTCCAGGCCTATCAAGTTCATAAACACATTAATTAAAGAAGAAATTATGCTGCTTTCTCCTGTCATACTCACATAGCTTAAAAGTTCCTCCTTATTCTCTCTGTTTCGAAAATTGCTAATCCTTTTATCACTTAAGATTTCAAGAACTAACACGCCAAAACTAAAGACGTCCGACTTGACTGAAAAACGTCCATGAATTGCTTACTCTGGAGCCATATATCCACTGCATTATTATATTCATCAAATTAAAATTTTAGTTCTGATGTGAACAAGCACAACAATGTAATTTAGCTTTGAAATTTGCAGATACTTACTAGGTTCCCACAATTGTCTTAGTATATCCTTGAATTTGATCCATCATAAACAATCTTGCCATGCCAAAATCCGCAATTTTAGGATTCATATCTTCATCCAACAGAATGTTACTAGGTTTAAGATCACGGTGAATGATTCGAAGTCGGGAATCTTCCTGAAGGTAAAGAAGCCCTCGAGCAATGCCTCCTATGATTTGAGGTTATCCATTTTCCATTGTAGAAAACCAAAATTGCAATTGTGTCCATTTAGGACCATCATAAAATTTTCTTTTGTTAACACATGTTAAACTGCCAATAAAAAATATATCCACTAGTGGAACCATATAGAAAAAACATCAATTAAACATCAATAAACAACAATTTTAAAACATCAATATTATGCAAAGTGAAACGGTTTAGCTAGCCTAGCTGTGTTTCAAGCTCCAGCAAAGGCATGTATCAAGAACTCTTAAAGTTAAATCCAACCCAAAGCCATTAACCTAGGGTATCCTATTACTAACTAACTACTTACAAATTGCCAAACCTTGACTGTCCAATGTTATTTCATATCGAATATCATACCACCCAAAAGAGTGAATACATTACTTTCAAGGAGATCTGCAAGTCCAAGTCTCAATCACAAAACAGTGTATACATCATTTCAAAGACAAATCATAAGCACAAAACAGTGTATCCAAGTCCAAGAGCTTAACAACCACATGAAATAGTTGGTAAATTTCATTCAATCATAGAAACAGCAAGCCACAACAAAAGCCCATTAATGTCTCATTCAAAACAATGAAAGCAATCACCCAATAATCTCAATCAATCAAAGAAACCCAAAAAAAAAAAAAAAAAAAACCAATATCAAAATTACCACAGTGAAGATCGACAATGAAGGTGTCGTGGCTTTGTGGTGGAAGTCGATGACGAAGGTGGCAAGTCAAGATTGTGGCTTTGTTGTGGAGGTCGACAACGGAGGTGGCGAGTCGTGCCTTGGCTAGGGTCTGATTCCAAATTTGGGGTTCAACCTTAAGGTTGAAATCAGCTCCTAATTGGAAGATATAACTAAGAGGAGATAGAGTTAGGGGAGATTTTATGGTTGATGTGGATTTTGTGAGGTTTGGCAGAAGGAAGAAGAGGAAGAGCAACGACTGAGTAAAAAAAAAAACTAATTGAAGGATGGGCAATAGGCTGTCAATAAGGAGTTTTTATAAGGGGCATTTGTGATTGAGTTTCAAAATAAGAATATTAATGAATAAA